CTTCCAAAGAAGGAGCCTCCACCACACTCTGGGGCAGAGAGTTCCACTGCTGAACAGCTCTCACAGTCAGGAAGTTCTTCCTCATGTTCAGATTTATTTATTTACTATTATTTATTTAGTGACCATATTTGTATCCCGCTCTTCTCAACCCCGAAGGAGACTCAGGGCAGCCTTAAAAAGGCAACAATTTGGTGTCTTAATGTTTTTGTTCGATGAACAAAAACATTAAAAACCAACTGATTAAAACATTACATTAAAACATCAATCAAAATCATATAATCCAAGTCATATTCCAGGGCCAGTCCGAGTTGTCAATATGTTAATTTATAGTCTACTGCACTGCTCCCATTATTGACCAAAAGCCTGATCCCTGAGCCATGTTTTTTTTTCTTGAAGGCCAGGAGGGAGGGGTCCAGTCTAATTTCACTGGGAAAGGAGTTCCATGTACGAGAGGCTACCACTGAGAAGACCCTGCCTTTCGTCTCCACCAGGTGCACTTGAGAGGGGGGTGGAGCGGAGAGTAGGGCCTTCCGTGGTGATCTTAGCCTCCAAGGTGGTTCATAGAGGAAGATATATTTGGACAGGTAAGCTGGACCAGAACCATTTAGAGCAGGGGTCCTCAAACTTTTTAAACAGAGGGCCAGGTCAGAATCCCTCAAATTGTTGGAGGGCCGGATTATAATTTGAAAAAAGCATTAATGAATTCATATGCACACTGCACATATCTTATTTGTAGTGCAAAGAAACACTTAAAAGCAACAATAATTAAAAAGAAGAACAATTTCAACAAATATAAACTTATTAGTATTTCAATGGGAAGTGTGGGCCTGCTTTCGGCTGATGAGATAGGACTGTTGTTCTTGTTGTTGTGTGCTTTCAAGTTGTTCCAGACTTAGGTTGACCCTGAGCAAGGGCCGGGTAAATGACCTTGTAGGGCCGTATTTGGCCCCATACCTTAGTTTGAGGACCCCTGATTTAGAGCTTTATAGGCTAAAGCTGAAATCAAATCTGTGAATAATCAAATTTGCAAAAGTAAAAATGTGGGTAGATTACTATATAGCTAATATTTATGAACAACATGAATTGACATGTTTTATGTTAGAAGGGGGAGCCCCTGGTGGCGCAGTGGGCTAAAGCACTGAGCTGCTGAGCTTGTTGATCGAAAGGTCGCAGGTTCGATTCCGGGGAGCGGCGTGAGCTTCCGCTGTCAGCCCTAGCTTCTGCCAACCTAGCAGTTTGAAAACATGCAAATGTGAGTAGATCAATAGGTACCGCTCCGGCGGGAAGGTAAAGGCGATCCATGCAGTCATGCCGGCCACATGACCTTGGAGGCGTCTACGGACAACGCTGGCTCTTCGGCTTAGAAATGGAGATGAGCACCACACCCCAGAGTCAGACATGACTGGACTTAATGTCAGGGGACTACCTTTACCTATGTTAGAAGGGAATGAAAATACATGCATTGGAGTATCGACACCAGCAAAATTATCCAGCTGCATTTCATCAAAGCATCTCACCCAAACCATATATTCCAGGACTGCACAAAGCTCTGTTCTCTTCTTCTGTTGTTGTTATGGTCCTGTGTAACCTACTAATTGGTCGTGTACAGTAAGTTATTTTCTACACTTGCAACATGTATCCACTTTATATTTCTTGCAAATCTATGGCTTCTTCGCTGTTAATATTAGAAATTACGATATGGCGAGGTGCTGTGAAATCTGTGTTAGAGATCTGCATTGCTACCATCCTTGCAGAAATTTGCTGAAGACATTTTTCTGTTCAAAACAATCTTTAATGAAATCCAAAAATCTACCAAGACAGAATTTTGACCACCTCCTGTCTGAGCTATAACTACACAGATCAACAAAACATCTGCTTTGCAAATAAAAAACATTACTTAAAAGAAGCTATGCTTTCATGGTTTTTAGTCGACCAAAAGTGTTTCCTTTACCTTCCCCAATATCTTCAAAAAGCAGTAACAGCTTGAAATCATGCATAGGCGGAACTGCTCGGTGGTTTGATATCAGTGAAGTGGTAGATCCGTTCCAGGTCTTAGTCCAAACTTTAAAGGAGCTACCCAAGGTATTGACCCTTAACCCTCTATTTATATGTTTGCAACCTTGAACGGCGCCTTTAAAGTTCAAACTAAAATCCAGAGCACAGTAATCAGTACGACAGCACAAAAACAAGCCCTATGAGGAGCGGCTTAAGGAGCTGGGCATGTTTAGCCTGAAGAAGAGAAGGCTGAGAGGAGATATGATAGCCATGTATAAATATGTGAGAGGAAGCCACAGGGAGGAGGGAGCAAGCTTTATTATATTATTATAAGACTAGGACACGAAACAATGGCTTCAAACTACAAGAAGGAGATTCCATCTGAACATGAGGAAGAACTTCCTGACTGTGAGAGCCGTTCAGCAGTGGAACTCTCTGCCCCGGAGTGTGGTGGAGGCTCCTTCTTTGGAAGCTTTTAAACAGAGGCTGGATGGCCATCTGTCAGGGGTGATTTGAATGCAATATTCCTGCTTCTTGGCAGAATGGGGTTGGACTGGATGGCCCATGAGGTCTCTTCCAACTCTTTGATTCTATGATTCTATGAATTCAGCAGATTCCGCGGTACATTCCTATGATATGAAAAGAATCTGGAAAAATGTAAGCTCTTGCCAATTTAACCCTGATGTTGCAATGGATGACTTGGTGAGGTCCCAACATGCTCTTGTGAAAGGCAGGCCAGTTTTGGGTGTGACATCTCGCAGACATGAGTTGTTCTTCTTGCAGTAACCTGATGAGTGAAGGCAAGGAGTACCGCCTCCAGAAGCCAGAAATGAAAGGAGAAGCCTCTACCTTTGTTTGTGTGTCTCATTGTATATGATTGTAAAAGCATTGAATGAAGAATTTCTCTTTGCCTTTGCTCCAAGCAGTTTTGGCGGCCAGACAACTAAGAGGTGATAACACAGGCTCCTCGGTTTAAGAATGGAGAAAGCACCTCCCCAGAGGCAGAGATGAGCACCGCTTCCAGAAGTTGGAAATGAAAGGAGAAGCCTCTACCTTTGTTTGTGTGTCTCTATTATATATGATTGTAAAAGCATTGAATGTTTGCCTATGTATGTAAATGCTGTAATCTACTCTGAGTCCCCTAGGAGAGGAGGACAGAATATATATAAAGTGTATAATAAAGTGCATTACTATGCTCAAGGTTTTTAAACAGAGGCTGGGTAGCCATTTGTTGGGAGTGCTTTCACTGTGTGTTCCTGCATGGCAGAAGGGGTGGACTTGATGGCTCTGTGAGTCTCTTTCAACTCTATGATTCTATGCCATGAAACATTAACAATATTGCATCCAGTTTGCAGTCCTGTGCAAAACAGCTAGACACCATTTTTAATTGGAGATATAGAAGTTCAAGCATCAGACACATCCACCTCTACAAAGTTCTGGAGAGACTTATTTTTCATAGAATTACGGAAAAAATAGACCCATGTCTGATTCCACAGCAAGCTGGCTTCAGGAAAGGCAAAAGCTGCACATCGCAAGTGCTGAACCTGACTCAGCACATAGAAGATGGCTTTGAAAGGCAGCAGATCACAGGAGCTGTCTTCATAGACCTGTCAGCAGCCTATGATACTGTGAACCACCGCCTCCTCCTGAGAAAAATGTACACTATCACAAAGGACTACCACCTCATCCACCTCATAGGAAACCTGCTACAAAACAGGAGCTTTTTTGTTGAGTGCCAGGGCCAGAGAAGCAGATGGCGGAAACAGAAGAACGGCCTGCCTCAGGGGAGTGTGCTTGCTCCATCCATGTTCAACATCTACACAAATGACCAGCCACTGCCAGAAGGGACAGAGAGTTTCATCTATGCTGATGACCGTGCCATTACTGCTCAAGCAAGGAGCTTTGAGTTGGTAGAACAGAAGCTTTCCGAAGCTCTAGGTGCTCTTACTGCCTATTACAGGGAAAACCAGCTGATCCCCAACCCATCTAAAACACAGACATGTGCCTTTCATCTCAAGAACAGACAAGCATCCCGAGCTCTGAAGATCACCTGGGAAGGAATCCCACTGGAGCATTGCAGCGCACCCAAATACCTGGGAGTCACTCTGGACCGTGCTCTTACCTACAAGAAGCACTGCCTGAACATCAAGCAAAAAGTGGGTGCTAGAAACAATATCATACGAAAGCTGACTGGCACAACCTGGGGATCACAACCAGATACAGTGAAGACATCTGCCCTTGCGCTGTGCTACTCTGCTGCTGAGTATGCATGCCCAGTGTGGAACACATCTCACCACACTAAAACAGTGGATGTGGCTCTTAATGAGACATGCCGCATTATCACGGGGTGTCTGCGCCCTACACCACTGGAGAAATTACACTGCTTAGCCAGTATTGCACCACCTGACTTCCGCCGGGAAGTAGCAGCCAATAGTGAAAGGACCAAGGCAGAGACATCTCCAGCTCATCCCCTGTTTGGGTATCAGCCAGCACGCCAACGACTTAAATCTAGACATAGTTTTCTAAGATCTACAGAGACACTCGCTGGAACACCTCAGCAAGCGAGAGTCCAAAAGTGGCAGGCTCAAACCCAGCACCTCAACCAATGGCTGATACCAAATGAGAGACTCCCCCCTGGGCACACAGAGACTGGGCGACTTGGAAGGCACTGAACAGACTGCGCTCTGGCACCACGAGATGCAGAGCCAACCTTCAGAAATGGGGCTACAAAGTGGAATCCTCGGCATGCGAGTGTGGAGAAGAGCAAACCACTGACCACCTGCTGCAATGCAACCTGAGCCCTGCCACATGCACCATGGAGGACCTTCTTGCGGCAACACCAGAGGCACTCCAAGTGGCCAGATACTGGTCAAAGGACATTTAACCAGCTACCAAACTCACAAGTTGTGTATTTTTCTGTCTGTTTGCTTTGTTCTGTTAGAAATGTAATATATAATGGACTGGTTGCTCTGACACGACAAATAAATAAAATCAGACACATCCACTTTTTCTTTAGGATTCCACTTTATTGTGCCATTTTACTATTCCACTTGATCTGAGATAGGTAAAGACATAATTTATTTCGGCTGAAACCTGAGGACATTACAATATCTTTAGACGCGTAGGAGTGACCACAGATGCCTCAAACAGAGGCCAGTCTTTTCGAAGAAGGAAGATGTAAACAATCAGCAAAAAAAATCCACTTCCCATTATTTTTAAAGTGGGGGGCGGGGAGGGGATGTAATGAGAACGGTATTGTGAAAAACAATTTGAAATATAGTCTCCTGGCCTTGAAAATAATAAGCTGCTCAAGGAATCTCAGCCGACCTCATCCAAAGGCTGAAACTCCCAGAAAACATCCTCTCCACAGCCAAAAAGAGAGAGCAAATTCTCCATAGTTGGGCTTTTGACTTTAGCTTTTAAAGGGTATTTGTTTTTGGCAGACAAACCCCACAATCCATTGCCAGTATTGCCGCTTATCTTCCCAGCTAGATACTGGCAGCAATAGTCTAAAAACAGTAAGTTTCCACCTAATAATGTGTGATACGTCTGAGTGCATATCTTCACTCTAGAATTCATGATGTATTGTTGAAGGCTTCATGGCTGGAATAATTGGGTTGTCGTGAGTTTTCTGAGCTGTATGACCATGTTCCAGAAGCATTCTCTCCTGACGTTTTGCCTACACCTATGGTAGGCATCCTCAGATGTTGTGAGGTCTGTTGGAAATTAGGAAAATTGGGTTAATATATCTGTGGAAAGTCCAGAGTGGGAGAAAGAATTGTCTGCTTGAGGCAAGTGTGAAGGTTGCAATTGGCCACCTTGATTAGTACTCAATTGCCTTGCAGAACTCAACAAAGGACTTTCTTCCATCCTGGACATTCAGCAGATATATAAACCTCACTCAATGCCCTTGCAGATCCTAACAAAGGATTCCCCCAGGCAGCAACCAGCCTGGCTTTGAAGCTGCATGGCCATTAAGTGCTAATCAAGCTGACCAATGGCAACATTCACACTTGTCCCAAACAGACATGAGTTCTTTCTTCCATCCTGGACATTCCGCAGATATATAAACCTCACTCAAAGTTTATATATCTCCCAACAAAGGATTCCCCTAGGCAGCAACTAGACAGTCTTTGAAGCTGCAAGGCCATTAAGTGAAATTGCCCACCTTGATTAGCATTTAATGCCCTAGCAGTTTCAAGGTCTTGCTTCTTACTGCCTGGAGGAATTCTTTGTTGGGAGGTGAGTGGCTGGCCCTGATTGAATCTTGTCTAGATTTCCCCTCTTTTTGAGTCTTGCTCTTTATTTACTGTTATGATTTTAGAGTTTTTTTTAATACTGGTAGCCAGATTTTGTTCATTTTCATGGTTTCCTCCTTTCTGTTGAAATTGTCCACATGCTTGTGGATTTCCGTGGCTTCTCTGTGTAGCCTGACATGGTGGTTGTTAGAGTGGTCCAGAATTTCTGTGTTCGCAAACAATATGCTGTGTCCAGGTTGGTTCATCAAGTGTTCTGCTATGGCTGATTTCTCTGGTTGAAGTAGTCTGCAGTGCCTTGATTTGTGTTTGGTGGTCCCTTGTCCACAGCTGCATGGTATACAGTAGACTCCTGCAGAGGTCATTCCACAAATATGTAAACCCAATTTTCCTAGTTTCCAAGAGGTCTCACAACTTCTGAGGATGCCTGACATAGATGCAGGCAATACGACAGGAGAGAATGCTTTTGGAACATGGCCATACAGCCCAGAAAACTCACAACAACCCAGAATTAATGATGTTTGATACCAATTTGTCATGGCTCAATGCTGTGTATTTCTGAGATTTATAGTTTGGCAAGGCACCAGCATGCTTTGGCAGAGAATGCTAAGGACCTTGTACAACTACATCTCCTAAAGCATTAAGCCATGCCAATAAAAATGGTGCCAAACTGCAGCAGATCTATAATGCAGATGCACTCTGAGTCCTAGCCCATTGCTTGCTCTTTCTCCCCTCTTTTCGTGTCCTTTTTCAAAACATAACAATGACATGAATATAACCAAAGATGTGGAATGCATGATCCTATCATTGAGCCAGGAATTGCCCAACACCATTGGATGGGGTGGGGTTGCCAACTGACCAGAGCTAAAAATGAGCCTGTGCAGTTCTTGTGCCTTTGGGGAGCAGTATCTTAACATGCTATCTAATAAACAAGAGACTTTTTTTTCCAGATCTGCCTGGATCACCAAAAATGTGGGCAGGAAAAGAGGTGGTTCATAGCAGAGGAGCAAGTTGGGTTGAAGACAATGTCAACCCTACTACTGAGTTGTGTGTACGTATCTCCTTTTATGGCAACAAGCATGGGAGAAGTGGCCAAGTTTGGGCTTAAAAGCATGGCTTTCCTTGCTGTGTGGGAAATGCTTCAGCTTATCCAGTTTATCATATTTGCAGTTTTTCCATATTCTCTTTCAAACTCTGCTTGAATTGGGGAAGAATTCAAGAGATGCAGAAAATCCTCCCTTCAGCCTGATGCCAGGGAAGGGACTCTCTTAGGGCAACTTCACAAGTAAGAAAATATATATATTCATCATTAGGAACAGAAAGAGGGAGAAAATAATCAAAGTAACAAAAATGCAGTGAATTTAAAAATTTGGCACATGCTGCCGGGAGCTGCCAGATCTCTAGATCCATAGGATTCCTGAGGCATTCGTGGAACCCACAAGTTGCAATCACAACAATGCCTGGAGCTGGAAACCAATGTCCAAAGGTTCACAGATCTTTTCACTTTTTGTAAAGTCCTCGATTTTCCATTTATTATGAGACTTTATTGTAGCTTACTAAGGAAACCCAGTCCTTGGTTTGCAAAAGGGGAAGCCAAGCAAGTAAGTAAAGCAAGTCCATTCAAATTTCCAGAAATCTTTCCATTGGAGAGGGCTACAAAAGAATCCAGGTGGGCAACCAGTTTGGGGCCATCGTCCTTGGAAAATTGATGTGTTGCCAGTGCCCATCTTTTGCCTCCAGCATTGGCAGATGGGAAGGCAAACATCACACATACACTCAAAGAAGGCAGGTTGAGACATTGCTGGATCATACAATTAGCTCTCCACCTATGTGGGTTTGACTTTTGCATGTGTGATTATTCATGAATATGATTAAAATATTCTCTCTAGGGATCTCTAAGTCCTCTAGAGAAAGCACCGATAGGACTTTCTAAGTCCTCCAATCGGATTCTACACTTTCTGGCAGAAGTTGTGTTGGAGGACCTCGAGATTCCTAAAGAAGTGTGTTCTTGGATTTTAAAAAGTGTTTTAAACTTTCAGTTTTTTCCAATTTCATGGGCGTCCTGCACCCCTAACTCCAGCGAATGTGGAAGGCTGACTGTCCTTTCTCTCTATTTTACTTCCACCACAAGGGATATTGTTTAGAGGGCATGGGTTTGCAACTCTCATTATCTCCAACACATTGGCTGTTTTGGCCAGAGTAGATGGGAGTTGGGGTCCAACCACATCTGGAGAGCCACAGCTTACAAAGCCACATTTCATGGTCCTTGTGCCCACTCACCCTATACCAGTGGTTCTCAACTTGTGGGTCTCCAGATGTTTTGGTCTACAACTCCCAGAAATCTTAACAGTTGGTAAACTGGCTGGGATTTCTGGGAGTTGCAGGCCAAAACACTACCCTATACGATTATAGCCTTACAATTCCATCCATCTAACCCAGTGGTATCAGCCTTGTGGCCCTCCAGATGTTTTGGACTCCAGCTCCCAGGATTCCTGGCCATTGGACAAGCTGGCCAGGGCTTCTGGGAGTTAGAGTCTGAAACATCTGGAGGGACACAAGTTTGGCACCTCTGATTTAACCCTTTATTTATATTCCATCTTCCTCCCAGACTAGGACTCAAGCTGTCTTACAAAAGCCACAAAAACCTACCCCGGCAACTGGGATTTATAGTTTGCTGGGATTTATAGTTTTATGAGATCCTGGAGCTCTCTATGTAATGTCTTCATCCATAAATTTCAAGTCCCAAGATTCACTAGGACCTTATTGTTGAGGTGTAAGTGGCATCCTGCTACTATCATTATGTATGATATGAGGTTATGGCCTGTTCAAATGGTTTGCTTTTGCAACCTGTGGTGACTCACAGATCACTGGCTCAAAAGCCTTACTTTGTGCCCATCATATTTTGCAAGGTGGGAGCTCCACTGGAGGAGTTTTAGATCAGCGAACGGTGCCTTCACACACATTTCGCGTCATATCAGGGTTCTCCAGCTTGCACGAGAACCTCCTGCAAAGAAACATGGTCCACACAGCCAAATCTTATCTTCAGCATTAGGGCGGGCATATCCCCAGGCGAAACCCACATAGCCTTGTCTCTCTCCGCAGGTCCTCTCAAAGTGGTGGGACCAGGAGTGACATCGCATCACTTTCGGTCACCCGTTTGAGAAGGATTGCAGAAGGAAATGGAGTTGTCTGAAGGACGTAGCAGGGAAGAGGATGCTTTTGAGGGTGGAGTGAGAAATTGTCATGTCCTTTCATGCATTTCTGTGTGATTTCTATGGGGAAAATCACATTCAATGTTTTTGAAAAGTAGCTGATCTTGGAGTGATCCACTTCCAAGTTAGGCCAGTCCAAGGAGATTATCATCCAAAACTTGTCAACTGATGCAGAAATCTTGAGCAAACGACGAATGTCGAGAAAAGGAGCAGAATGAATGAATAGTATCTCTCCGTTGTGCTGAAGGTAGCTTTGATTTCACAGCCAAAACATGTCCATTGCTTTCAGCTGTTCTGAGGTTTGGTGGCCATCCAAAGATGGACACCTTGGCCTGCAAAAAAAGCCATCTCTGAAGGTCAAGGGTTGGAATGGTTCTTCTACTAAGATCAGGATACCTTTCAAGATGATGGGCAGAGACATTTTTAAAAAGGAGAAAAATGTCATGGTGTGGCTCAGTCCTTGTGGCTTGTCTCTGCGTCATGAGCCCCATGGAGGGCAGAAGGTGGTTATGCCGTGATGATGTTACCGTGGTTCTCATCTAAGACCAGGCCATTCCATGAGTCTTGCTTGGTGTTGGCCTGGCTGACAGCTGGCTGGTAAGCTTGTGGGGAAAGCTTGAGGGACGACATGGCAGAGTGAAGAGCGGAGCTGTGTCCGGACATTGTAGAGAGTGAGAACGGCTGGGAGGGAGAAAGGAAGACATAATTGGTGAATAGAAGGCTGGAGGATATAGGATACCCTCTTAACATTTTGCAGACTCGGTATGTTTAACGTGCAAAAGAGAAGGTTGAGAGGAAACATAATTGCCATGTATAAATATGTGAATGGGTGCCATAAGGAAGAGGGAGCAGGCTTGTTTTCTGCTGCCCTGGAGACTAGGACTCAATGGAGTCATGGGTTCAAATCACCTAAACATTAGGAAGAACTTCCTGACTGTGAGAGCTATTCAGCAGTGGAACTCTCTGCCTTGGATTGTGGTGGAAGCTCCTTCCTTGGAGGCTTTTAAACAGAGGTTAGATGGCCATCTGTCAGGGGTGCTTTGATTGTCCTTTTCCTGCATGGCAGGGGATTGGACTGGATGGTTCTAAGTCCCCTTAGGGAGATAGGGCAGATTACAAATATATTATTATTATTATTATTATTATTATTATTATTATTATTAACCGCTAAACTGCTGAACTTTCTGACCAAAAGGTCAGCGGTTTGAATTCAGAGAGCGGGGTGAGCTCCTGCTGTTAGCCCCAGCTTCTGCTAACCAGACAGTTCAAAAACATCCAAAATGTAACTAAATCATAGGTACTGCTCTGGCGGGAATGTAACAGCGCTCCATGCAGTCATGCTGGCCACATGACCTAGGAGGTGTCTATAGACAATGCCAGTTCATCGACTTAGAAATGGAGATGAGCACCACCCCCCACAGTCTGACATGACTAGACTTAATGTCAGGGGAAACCTTTACCTTTACCTATATGTTTTAATCTGGAACACTTATGGTGTTTGTTGTTTTAGATGCCTGCCAACCTGAAATCCCACCAGTACTTTCATGAGATAGTAAACAATAAAAAGGATCCACCTGGGGAATAGGGCTGAGGTGCCCGTAATGAGATGAAATCCCCGGTTCCGTCTTGATGGGTCGCATTTCTTCGGTGGCAGTCGTGGTTGTGGTGCTGGTGCAGGCTGCTGAGCTGTTGGCTGGAGTAAGGTTTTCGGCATTACTGGCCGATCCTAGGTATGAATGATAGCAAGAAGGAGAAAGAAAAAGGATTCTTGTTAAACCTTGGAATGTTGTGGAGTCTCCATCTCTGGAAGTTTTAAGCAGATGCTGGATGGCCATCTGTCAGGAGGGCTTTGATTGCATGTTCCTGCACAGCACAGGGTTGGACTGGATGACCCTTGTGGTCTCTTACAACTCTAGGGTTTTATTATGCTATGATTTAACTCTATGATTCAATAAACAAGATGCTCTCTGGTTGCTGGCAAAGTCGGAGGTGCTCCACATTCTTGGAGCAAAGAATCCACTCTCCATGCTATTGTTGGCTTATAAGTAGCTATACTTTTATACACAATGTTTTAAATAATTTTGCATGTGAAACTAAGTTGGTGTACATTGAAGCATAGGAATGCCAAAGTAGCTGGAGCTGTTAACTGGTGCAAATTACAAGGAGCAGTCAACTCCCCTGTTCAAACACCTCTACTGGCTGCTGATAAGTTTCTGGTCCCAATTCAAGGTGCAGGTTATTACCTATAAAGCCCTAAATGGTTCGGGACCTGCCTATCTTCGCGACTACATCTTCCCTTATGAACCTGCACAATCTCTAAGATCTTCTGGGGAGGCTCTTCTCTCACTCCCACCCCCATCACAGGTATGGTTGGTGAGGACGAGAGAGGGGGCCTTCTCGGTGCTGGCCTCCCAGCTCTGGAACTCCCTCCCCAAGGAGATAAGGCTAGCACCCACCCAGTCCACCTTCTACAAAGCTCTAAAGATGTAGATGTTCTGCTGTGCTTTTGACTAGACAATTCCCTGACAACTTGGCCCCAGCTAAGACTCAAAAATCTTGTCCTTGCACTTTCCTATTGTTCTGTATCCAAAGTTATAATGCTCTATCTTACATTGCTCACCATCCTTGCAGTTGCCTATTGGCTTACACACTTTATCCATCAGCCCTATCCTCACAATTGATTTACACCAGTCTGCACACTCATACCCAGAAACCGATCATTATTGCAGGTTCATTGATTGTTAGTTTGTTGTTTGCTTGTATAGTTCGTTATAATGTTGTTTTTATTTTTATGCTGTGTTTATGTATTTCGATGTGTTGTATTTTAATTATGTTGACCGGGCTCATTCCTTCGGGGAGATGGAGGTGGGGTACAAAAATAAAGTTGTTGTTGTCGAAGGCTTTCATGGCCGGAATCACTGGGTTGTTGTAGGTTTTTTTGGGCTATATGGCCATGGTCTAGAGGCATTCTCTCCTGACGTTTCGCCTGCATCTATAGCCATATAGCCTGAAAAAACCTACAACAACTCAAAGTTGTTGTTGTTGTTTGAAACACAATGAGTCCACAGCAGACAAGATCACTCTGCTGGCTGTTGTATTGGATCAAACGTCGGACACTTCCCAAGTATCTAGGATGTGTGATGTATCGGCGAATAATGCCTGCAGATCCCAGTAAGGTGGCCTTTTGCAGCTGGCAGATGGTAATTTTTTCAGTGCCGATTGTGTTTAAGTGCAGGCCAAGGTCTTTAGGCACTACACCCAGTGTGCTGATCACCACTGGGACCACCTTTACTGGCTTGTGCCAGAGTTTTTGTAGTTCAATCTTTTATTATTATTATTATTATTATTATTATTATTATTATTATTATTATTTGAAACACCACAAGAATCCGCCCTGAGTCCCTTCGGAGAGATAGCGCGGAACATAAATAGTTATTATTATTTGAAACACAACAAGATGAGTCCACAGCAGACACTCTCCTGGCTGTTGTATTGGATCACACATTGGACACTTCCCAAGTGTCTAGGACTGTGTGATGTATCGGCAAATAATGTGTGCTGATCCCAGTAAGCTGGCCTTCTGCAGCTGGCAGATGGTAATTTTGTCAGCACCGATTGTGTTTAAGTGCAGGCCAAGGTATTTAGGCACTGCACCCAGAGTGGCGATCACCACTGGGACCACCTTTACTGGTTTGTGCCAGAGTCTTTGCAGTTCGATTATTATTATTATTATTATTATTATTATTATTATTATTATTATTATTATGATGTATCACCATCTTAGCCACCCCTGTTGGCAAGTCTAGGTTATTTTGGATTTCAGAATTCTAGTCTTTTGTGCAAAGTCTTGAGGTCAATGTGAGGGTTGAGAAGTGATACGTAGATGCCTTAGAAAAATAAAAAGATAATAGAAGAAATACACAAAAACAAAACAAAATACATTCTACTCACCTGAAGTTGTCTTAGCCTTGTTGACACTCTTCGGTTTACGTTTCCTGGTTTGGATCCCTTCTTTTCTCATTGCTAAAGGCCTAGGGACCTACAAAGAGAGATTCCAAATTGTTTAAGGGCAATAGTGGGGAAAGTGAAGTCACTCCAACAAACATATGCCTCTATAGCAGCCTAAAACTGACTAAAAAAAAGTATAAACTGGTATTAGACGTCTGGTTAACTCTGGGAATACAAGGTCTTTATAGTGTATCAGCAATACAGTTGGGCACCATTTCAACTGCCATTACGCAATATTGTGGAATCTTAGGATTTATAGTTTGGCAAGACACAAGCACTCTTTGACAGAAAAGGCTAAAGACCTTGTTAAACGATGATGCCCATTATTCAAAGCCAGGCATGGGCAAAGTTCAGCCCTCCAGGTGTTTTGGACTTCAACTCCCATAATTCCTAATAGCCTACTGGCTGTTCGGAATTATGGGTGTTGAAGTCCAAAACACCTGGAGGACTGAAGTTTGCCCATACCTGTCTATAGCATGGATGTATGGCAGTTCAAGTAGTGCCAAATTGTATTCATTCAACAGTGCAGATGCAACTTATATGTACTGTTCAATAAAGGTGCCAGAAAGCCATGGACTGAAACACCCTCCATTCAAGTCTTCAGTCCATTATCCTCTCATCTGCTCCATTAATCAAAGAGCTAATTTCAGAAGGTTCCCCCTGAGGCCACATAGACCACACATTCCATGTTCCAGGGAGACTGCTAGAGACATATATAATGGGTTGCTGTGCGCTTTCCGGGCTATATGGTCATGCTCCAGAAGCATTCCCTCCTAACGCTTCTCCCACATCTATGGCAGCCCTCCTCGGAGGGAATGGTGCTCATCTCCATTTCCAAGCCGAAGAGCCAGCGCTGTCCGTAGACACCTCCTGGGTCATGTGGCCAGCATGACTGCATGGAGCACCGTTACCTTCCTGCAGAAGCAGTACCTATTGATCTACTCACATTTGCATGTTTTCAAACTGCTAGATTGGCAGAAGCTGAAGCTGACAGTGGAAGCTCACGCTGCTCCCTGGATTTGAACCTATGACCTTTCAGTCAACAAGCTCGGCAGCTCAGCTGTTTAACCTACTGAGCCACCGGGGGCTCCACCAGTATTTTTAAAAAAATCTAAAATCTGGACAGTAAATAAAGAACACAGTTCAGAAAACAGGGGAAATCCAGACAGGAAATAATCAGGGCCAGCTAACACCTCCCACAATTAAGTATTTTCCCAGGCAGGAAACAGCCAGGCTTTGAAGCTGCAAGGCTATTCCATGGTCATCAAGGTAGCCAATTGAAACATTCATACTTTTCTCCAGCAGAAAAGAGTTCTTTCTCCTGTCAGTGGCACAGCAAGGCAGGAAACAGATTGATCACTGCCACTTTAGACTATAAACTACTTCATTTACAGCTATATACATTAGAAGCTACTTAACACTAAGCACATTGTAAAACTTGCTTCCTTCCTATCTGATAGTCACATCGCGAACACTCGAACAGCCTGTTATCAGCACTAGTCCACACCTCTTGCATTCCAGAGTGACGTATGACTCACAACACTGCGTCCATATGCTCTATACACTTGATTTATGACCTCTCTAGGAATGCCGTTCCCTCCATGGTTCAGTTAATTCTTTCCACACAGGAATACTCTCGGCACATATCAACTACATTTTAAACATACATACATACATACTTTGAAATCTACATTATACATTGCAAACAGCTCCAACATCTTCCACCTGGACATTCCACAGATATATAAATCCCACTTGCCTAGTTCCCAACAGACCTCACAACCTCTGAGGATGCCTGCCATAGATGTGGGTGAAACGTCAGGAAAGAATGCTTCTGGAACATGGCCATACAGCCTGGAAAACTCACAACAGCCCAGTAATTCTGGCCATGAAATACTTCAATGACATATATAATGATCTTCTTTAGCTGCTCTTACCCCATGGAGCTTCATGTATAAACCACAGGCATTACAGACCGGCTCGCCTTCTGCATTCCTGCGCCACAGGGTGGTCGTAGTTGTCTGGCAGTTGGCGCACATGAGCCCGATCCGACGGGAGGCCGACTGTACGAACAAGAGTCCAAAAGCAAGAACAACGGCCGGTTAATGCAATAGTAGCCTTGAGTGAATCATTGTCATACACTCTTGGAAAATATCCATAAGAAACAGGGCTGATATAGAATCATAGATTTGGAAGACACAACAAAGGCCATCCAGTCCATACAGGAAGAAGCAATCAAAGCACTCCCGACAGATGGCCATCCAGATTCTCTAGAGAAGGATGCTCCATTGCATTTTGAGGCAGCAGATTCCACTGCCAAGCAGCTCTTACTGAAAGGAAAATCTTCCCAATGTTTACGTGGAATCTCTTTTCCTGGAATTTAAATAATACAGCCACCTGATATCTGCCCGTGTTCTTTTTTATTCATTACTAGCAGTCCCCTGCCGTGCCTTGCTGTGGCCCAGTCTTTGTATATGTGTTTTGTGTGTGTATATATTTGTGTATATGTGTGTTTGCATATATGTGTATGGTTTTGCACATGCATTGTAATGTAAATTTTGGTTTTTGGCTTTTTAAGTCTCTTCCGCTGTGTTTTTTAGTGTTTTTATGAGTGATGGTCACTTGTTGGCCTGATCGGTGTCTTGTGTCCAAATTTGGTGTCAATTCGCCCAGTGGTTTTTGGGTTATGTTCATCCCACAAATGAACATTACCTTTTTATTTATATAGACAAGCTGTACACGCCACACATTGCTGTGGCCAACCTTCCCTCCCTCCCTCTTTCTCTTCTTTCTTTCTCTCCTTCCTTCCTTCCCTCCCTCTTCCCTTCCTTCTCCCTCCCAACATTTCTTTTCCTTCCTCTTTTTCCCCTTTCTTCCTTCTCTACCTATTCTTGGACTGCAACTCCCAGCAATCCTCCTGATCGATCTATCTACCTGCCTATCTATCTCTATCTAGTCTTTCTATCTGGAGGATTGCTGGGACTTGGAGTCCAGGAATAGGAAATGGGAAATTTGCAGGGAAAGGAATGCTCTCAAAGAAATCCAAGGAGAACCAAGCTTGGAGCTTGGAAGCAGCGCATTTGGATCATCCTCCTCTCCTAAAGGGCTTGGTCTAGGGGATGCTGGGAGCTGTAGTTCAGAATAGAGTGTGGATATGCTATTATGTGTTTTGTTTGCCAGGGGAGTCATTTAGGCATATGCGCCGTAGCATCTTTTTGCTTTTTTTTTGGCTTTTTAAGTCCCTTCCACTGTGTTTTCCAGTGTTTTTATGAGCGATAATTACTCATTGGCCTGATAGGTGTCTTGTGTCCAAATTTGGTGTCAATTGGTCCAGTGGTTTTTGAGTTATGTTGATCCCCCAAATGAACAATCCATTTGTATTTATATAGACAGAAGTTGATTTTTTTCCACCTTCCAGAATAGCCCAAATGGTTGGCTGTGCCTGACCAGCTTGTGGCAGAAAAGGTCATAATGTCAAGTACTGGGTTTGGTGTTGGACAGACAACCAAGAGATATTAAACTTCACAAAAGATCTGTCTCTCTGAACACGGCTAGAACTAGAGTACTTTGCTGAAATGGATCAAGAGCAGTTCTTGGAGGAATATGGTTTTTAGTCTGTGTCTAGTTAGGCACATGCTCCTCTAGAGTCTTATGTTCTCTGCTCACTATTCAGAGGTAGATAAGCTATCATGGGGGAATCAGGTGAATGGTGAGCTGTAATTGAGCTTCACCTATAGAACTGGGCAATGGGGGAGCTTAAGTTTGATGAGGCAGCAGGAAATGTGATTGCAGGCAGAGAATTATCATCATTATTATCAACTTTATTTAATGTTATTGATATTATTATTATTAGATTATTATTATTATTATTATTATTATTATTATTATTATTATTAGATTCATTTAATGTAGTTTTACAAGGCTCAAGACATTGCAAAATGACAACTCAAAGGATTCCACAGCCTTGAGCCATGGCAGTTAAAGTGGTGTCAAGCTGCATTCATCCCACAGATTCACCCCTAAATGCTTTCTATGAGGCTGCAAACATTGAATTCAGTAGCCTCGTGATCTTAGTAAAGGTAAAGTTTTCCCCTTGACATTAAGTCTAGTCAGGTCCAACTCTGTGGGGTGGTGCTTATTTCCATTTCTAAGCCAAAGATCCAGCATTTTCCATAGACACCTCCAAGGTCATTTGGCCAGCATGACGGCATGGAGTGCCGTTACCTTCCCGCAGAAGTTGTACCTATTGTTCTACTCACATTTGCATGTTTTCAAACTGCTAGGTTGGCAGAAGCTGAGACTCCCCGGATTCATACTGCCAACCTTTCAATCAGCTAGTCCAGTATCTCAGCGGTTTAACCTGCTGTGCCACAATATCTTAGCTGCAAAGAATTAGGGGTCAGTTCCTCCCAGATCCACCCAATGGGCTACAGAGCACCCGGTGGCGCAGTGGGTTAAACCCCTGTGCCGGCAGGACTGAACACCAACAGGTCGCAGGTTCGAATCCGGGGAGAGGCGGATGAGCTCCCTCTATCAGCTCCAGCTCCTCATGCGGAGACATGAGAGAAGCCTCCCACAAGGATGATAAAACATCAAATCATCCAGGCATCCCCTGGGCAACGTCCTTGCAGACGGCCAATTCTCTCACACCAGAAGCAACTTGCAGTTTCTCATGTCGCTCCTGACACGACAAAACAAAAAAACCCAATGGGCTACACTGTCATTCCTAAAATGAACACAAGGTGTCACTTCTAGACCCAGATATAGCTGATCTTTAGCATCTGGAGGGCACACTGAAAATTGGGCAACTGAACAGACTGCGCTCTGGAACCACGAAATGCAGAGCCAACCTTAAGAAATGGGGCTCCAAAGTGGAATCCACGACATGCATGTGTGGAGAAGAGCAAACCACTGACCACTTATTACAATGCAACCAGAGCCCTGCCACATGCACAATGGAGGGCCTTCTTATAGCAACACCAGAGGCAATCCAAGTGGCCAGCTACTGGTCAAAGGACATTTAATAGAATGCTAAGTTTGCAAACTTTGTGGGGGGGGGAGGGTGTTTTGTTTTTTTATGCAATGCAACTGTTTGGTTCACTCCTGAAATGATAAATAAATAAGCATCTGGAGACAAATACCCAAACTGGTTTTGGTAATGGTTTGAATGTTTCCTGCTAATTTGGGGCTTAGTTTTTAAAATATGAGTCACTTGGAGGCTCCAGAATCTATGGGTGGGCTACAGAATAAATTCCCAGGAGATACATATAACTACAGGCTGCACTTTCGTTATCCATGGCATAGATTTATTTCTTCTGTCCATCCTAGGTCAGGGTTTTGCCTGAACACAAAAGGTTGGGGCAGTCCGTAACTGTAGACACAACTCAACCATCATGTTCCTGGAACAGCATAAGCCAAGCCTTACCAGCCTCCTTTGGGGCTTGATCAGCGGCCGGTTGATGCCGTTCATCTTGTGATAGAGTCCACAAGCGTTGCACAGGTAGTGGCCAGTGCCATCTCTCCTCCACAGAGGGGTGGACATGGCCCCGCAGTTGACGCATTCCCGGCCTTCGCTGTAATCGTCAAAATATTCTGTAGGCACTGGAGTGGGGAGAAAAGAAAACAGAGATGGAAACAAACACTCAGAATCTTTTTAAAAAAATCTTTTTAATTTGTATTAACTGTTCACAATATATACAGTACTAGCTGTCCCCTGCCACGCATTGCTGTGGCCCAGTCTGATGATCTGGAAAATAAAGTAATGAGAAAGTGTTGGCTTCTAATATACCATCCTTGTGGGAGACTTCTGATATACCTTCCTTGTGGGGAGCCAGAACTGACATAGGGTGCTCATCTGCGCTCTCCTCGGATTCGAACCTGCGACCTGTTGGTCTTCAGTCCTGCCAGCACAAGGGTTTGACCCACTGCGCCACCAAGGGCTCCATTTTCCCCAATGAAACCATGGATATGGGTTTCATGAGTATGAGGTCTAACAGCCTGTGCCATCACACTCAGACGCCTTAAAAATAAGACTGCGATGTGCTGCTCTCTTTGTCTGGGATCTTTCTTTAAAAGCTCAAACTTTCTGAGTAACTGAGTCCACTTCAAGTGTGGAACAGCAAACGGAACATTTATTTCCAAAGTCTTTGTAGACTTGGCACAGCTTATCAAAGTTACAAACAATCAATTGGTAAAGCACAGAGATGAGCTTTCTTTCATTCAGTTATTGAGGTACCCTTTTCCAAAAGGTAGAAGGAATTCTGGAATCCCTTTACCCTAACCTTGAGCTCCTATGGTCAGAAAAAAGCAGGTTTTCCCCCCTATCTATTGCTCAAAGTTAGCTTTGGAGGCAAATACTATCTATCTAACTCAATATGGCTCAATAGTTCTCTATAGCTCAATAGTTATCTATAACTCAATATTGAGTATCTCTCTATATTAACTCAATAGCTCAATAGTTCTTTCTATATCTCAATAACCATATCTTTCTATCTATTTCTCATAGAATCATAGAATCAAAGAGTTGGAAGAGACCTCATGGGCCATCCAGTCCAACGCCCTGCCAAGAAGCAGGAATATTGCATTCAAACCACCCCTGACAAATGGCCATCCAGCCTCTGCTTAAAAGCTTCCAAAGAAGGAGCCTCCACCACACTCCGGGGCAGAGAGTTCCATTGCTGAACGGCTCTCACAGTCAGGAAGTTCTTCCTAATGTTCAGATGGAATCTCCTCTCTTGTAGTTTGAAGCCATTGTTCCGCGTCCTAGTCTCCAAGGAAGCAGAAAACAAGCTTGCTCCCTCCTCCCTGTGGCTTCCTCTCAATAGCTTAATATCTCAGTAGTACTTGCAATGGTTTCTCATAGCTATCCTGATCTGGCCCCCAGCACATCTGAATTCTTCCTTTAGACTGAAAAGGCAGGGGAGATTCTAAAATGGAGATCCCTTCCCTGGGAGAAAGGGCGGGCTCTAAACCCAAAGAGCTGCTCTCTAGGCCAATAGTTGCAAAGAGGCCTGCAGGCTGGCTTTGCAGACTTTGATACTGCTAACCTTGTAGGGCTTTGCAAAGCTGCAGCAGCCCTGAAAGAAATGCAAGGGGAAGACACTCTAAGCAACTAAAAAGGTAATATAAACCAGACTCCTGGGAGACAGAACACAGCCACTTTGGGTCTCTTTTTTGAGAGAGCTAGAATAATAATAATAATAATAATAATAATAATAATAATAATAATAATAGTCTAGTATCTAGCCTTCTTCCCAAAATTGGATCTCAACATAAGATTGGTGGCACAATGGGTTAAACCCTTGTGCTGGCAGGACTCCTAAACAAAAGATTGGCAGTTTGAATCCAGGGAACGGGGTGAGCTCCCACCTGTCAGCTCCAGCTTCTCATGCAGGGACATGAGAGAAGCCTCCTACAGGATGGCAAAACATCCGGGCATCCCCTGGGCAATGTCCTGGCAGATGGCCAGTTCTCTCACACCAGAAGCAACTTGCAGTTTCTCAAGTCGCTCCTGACACGAAAAAAAATACAAAATAAAAACACAACCTGGTTAAACTCATATAGAAAAGTGAACATGGAAGTTAAGTTAAAGTATTGATAATATTAAAAAAAGATTTGAAACTGCACTTAAAAAGACAAAATCCTATTAAAAATAAGGAGAAATTAAAATAGCTCAGTCTAAACCCGAAACAGTCCATTTTAAGACGATTTACTGGTCCATGAGGTCAGAAAGAGTTGGATGCGACTGAAAAAATAAACAACAAACAATTGTTTAGAGAGGTGTTCTCTCAGGTTAAAAAAAGTAATGTTTGCCAATTGTATTTATATTCATTGTTTGCAATTTTCTGCAATTTTTTGCCCCTAAGTTCCACAAATGTGGAGAGACAAATGTGTCCACTTTAAAATGGATTTGGGGGCTCCCTGTAATTCATATAACTGACCACGAGAGGGAGCCTCACCCCATACAATATTAATGCAAATAACCTTGTTTCCATTTAGTTGAATGAGAGCATCAAGCTGAGTTTGAGACAGTCATGAGCAGAGACTTTAAAGATCCTTCCAGCCCAAAGATCCACAGATCCTGCTACAAAAGGTTGCAGGACAGACATCCTAGTTACATTTGTGCTAAAAGTTACTACCTAACTTCTGAAGGCATGTTAGCTGGAAAAGGATTTCCATGCACTCATTCACACACAGCATCACAACTCTTACACACCCCACAACTGTTCTGATGTCGGAGAAGAAACAAAACATTGGAAGACCTGGTTGTAAATGTCTACAGACCATCCATTTCTGAGAAGCAGGACAAGAACGCAGAAAAGGGACCTTTGGGGTTGCAACTCCCATCATCCCCGGACAGCATGGCTTAGCGAAATGGGATTTGTGGAGCTTTGTTCGAAAAACACAACAGCTTCAAGTTCTACGTCTACATGGCTTTACATTGTAAGATGAAAGCTGTTTGACACCACTTTAACTGTTCTGGCTCAATGCTATGGAATCCTAGGATTTATAGTTTGTTGCGGCACTAGCATTCCTTGGGATGAGTCTGTAAAACTATAACTCCATTTATTCCAGGGCATTGAGTGAAAGCAGTTAAAGTGGTCTCAAACTGCATTAATTCTACAGGGACTGTGGCACAGCTGGCTGGGAGTCAGCTGCATTAAGATCACTACTGACCAAAAGGTCATGAGTTTCAAGCCAGCCCAGGTCGGAGTGAGCTTCCGACCAAAATTGTGTAGCTTGTTGTCGACCTTTACAGCCCGAAAGACAGTTGCATCTGTCAGGTAGGAAATTTAGGTACCACTTATGTGGGGAGGCTAATTTAACTGATTTACAAGGCCATAAAAATCTCCAGGAAGTATGCAAAGAATGAGGAAGTACTTCATCAGTGTAAAAAAAACGACGGTGAACGACAGCTCCCCTGGTGGCCAGAAGCTGGAATGTTAAATAGCCTCTGAGTGTCTGTCTATATATATATGTTGTGTGTCTATGGCATCGAATGTTTGTCATGTACATTGTAATCCACCCTGAGTCTCCTGTGGGGTGAGAAGGGCGGAATATAAATACTGTAAATAAATAAAATAAATAGATGCACCATTTTGCCAGGATTTGAAAAATCGATAAGCAGTATGAAGCAGTGGAACAGAAACTATTCAATAGGGGCAAAGAAAGCAGAGGAGGAAAGGAGAAGGAAAAGTGGCCGTCCTTGCTCTGTCCTAGATTTAAATCCGCCTGGGATTGATCCATCACGTGCGAACAGAGGCCTTGCTTTTGCTGTGTTCTGGAAGACTGAGACAGAATATACGTAATGTCCAGGGCCGGGGTTGATAAGCTGTGCAAGGCTTTTGGAAGAAATTCAGAGTTGTGTCTGTGCCAGACAGAAGCTGGAGGAGCTTGGAAAGCAGATGAGGGGGAGGGAAAGGAGCATGGAAAAGAGAAAGAAGCAAAGGGAAGGGAAGGATGGAGCCAAGCTACTTCTGGTTCCTAAGAGAACCATTACATGATCTAGCATGACACTGGAAAGAGAGACCGGTAAATGTATTGATTCTGTTCTTGGAGTAGCAATAGCTGGAGATGGGTAGTAAAACGTTTTTCCTGGATGTCTTTTGAACATTTGAAAAGATTCATATGTTTTGCAGCCTGCACAAATCCATTTTCATAGAGTTGGAAGAGACCTCATGGGCCATCCAGTCCAACCCCATTCTGCCAAGAAGCAGGAAAATTGCATTCAAAGCACCCCTGACAGTTGGCCATCCAGCCTCTGTTTAAAAGCCTCCAAAGAAGGAGCCCCCACAACACTCTGAGGCAGAGAGTTCCATTGCTGAACGGCTCTCACAGTCAGGAAGTTCTTCGTCATGTTCAGGTGGCATCTCCTTTCTTGTAGTTTGAAGCCATTGTTCCATTGCGTCCTAGTCTCCAGGGCAGCAGAAAACAAGCTTGCTTCCACAAGCATGGAACATGGCCATACAACCCGGAAAACTCACAGCAACCAAGTGATTCTGGTCATGAAAGCCTTTGACAACACAAGGTACATTTTTTATTTGTTGGGAGTTCAAACAGTAAGTTTTCCAAAGTATTCTGTTTCTACTGACTTCTAAACTATACTGTACTGCTTCTGATGTAAACACTGACATCTAAAATGGTGTCTCAGTCTGAATAGTCCCAGATCTGATCACATGGTCTGTAGTCTCTCCCACAACCTCAAACAACATGGAGTTAAGGGAAAACTGCATACCAATACACATATATACGATACAGTAATCAATCTGAATTATATACATAAAAATAACTAGTATAGGAGGCTTGTAGAAGGTTGCTATTTCCAACAATATTGGGGAAAGATGGCCTATAAATGATGCATTACTATTATTATTACTAGCTGCACCCGCCACGGGTTGCTGTGGCCAACCTTCCCTCTTTCTCTCCTTTCCCTCCTTCCTTCACTACCTCCTTCCTTCACTACCTCCTTCCTTCCTTCCTTCCTTCCTTCCTTCCTTCCTTCCTTCCTTCCTTCCTTCCTTCCTTCCTTCCTTCCCATCTTTCCTTCTCTTCTTCCTTCCTTCTCTATCTCTTTCCTTCCTTCCCTCTTTTTCTTTCTCTTC